AAAGTAAAATAAGTAGCCAACCTTATCCCTGTCTGTAAGTAACTGTCTGTAGGTAGGTAAGGAAAGCATCAGATGAGCTACCTGAGAAACTAACGTTACGTTTTCCCACTTTAAAACGAAACAAACACGGTTACTCACCCTGCTGATCAGCTCCAACATGTTTTCTTTTCAGGTGCTGCGTCATAACAGTGGTGCTTCCGTGCCATGTTAATTTGTTTTTACAAAAGTTGCATGTTACGACTTTTTTCACTTTACAAAGCGCAGGCTATTTTAATTATTGTGATCAATTTGCGCCGGCGCATGCGCGCCTCCTTCGCAGTCTGGACGCTGAGGATAAACTCCTCACTAAAATCCTGCGGCTCTGACTGCAGCGCTGAGAGGGACTCCTGTGGGAGAACGGGGTTAGGATGGGGGAGGTGCCCCACGGCAGAGTAGGAACTAGGGCTGGGCGATATAGAAAAAAAGCTTATCGATAAAAAAAAATGCATATTGATCGATATCGATAATTATTGAAAAGATTTGAAACCATATTTTATGTGCAGCTCTGCCTGGACTTTTTATAATATTGCTAAATGATTTAATTTTAATAAAAAACACAAACACAGACTTCGAATTAAATCTTTATTTAACCAACTTTTTTAACCATAACAGAATTGTTTTAAAGAAAAATAACTTAAGAGACCTGAGTTATGTTATTAAATACTGACAAAGAATAAACTTAAGTGACCAGAAAAGTGACCAAAATAAATATAACAAATAAATAAATGCCCCCCCACCGCCGCCGCCGCCCCCGTTTCCTGCTTTAACCTGAGTTATTACTTTGAAGTTTCTGGCCCCTCAGCATTTTTAACTCAATTGTTAGAACTACGTGGGAAACTGCCCAGAACTGAAAATATACACTATATTGCCAAAAGTATTTGCTCACCTGCCTTGACTCACATATGAGCTTAAGTGACATCCCGTTCCTAATCCATAGGGTTCAATATGACGTCGGTCCACCCTTTGCAGCTAGAACAGCTTCAACTCTTCTGGGAAGGCTGTCCACAAGGTTTAGGAGTGTGTTTATGGGAATTTTTGACCATTCTTCCAGAAGCGCATTTGTGAGGTCGCACACTGATGTTGGACGAGAAGGCCTGGCTCTCAGTCTCCGCTCTAATTCATCCCAAAGGTGTTCTATCGGGTTGAGGTCAGGACTCTGTGCAGGCCAGTCAAGTTCATCCACACCAGACTCTGTCATCCATGTCTTTATGGACCTTGCTTTGTGCACTGGTGCACAGTCATGTTGGAAGAGGAAGGGGCCAGCTCCAAACTGTTCCCACAAAGTTGGGAGCATGGAATTGTCCAAAATGTCTTGGTATGCTGAAGCATTCAGAGTTCCTTTCACTGGAACTAAGGGGCCAAGCCCAGCTCCTGAAAAACAACCCCACACCATAATCCCCCCTCCACCAAACTTTACACTTGGCACAATGCAGTCAGACAAGTACCGTTCTCCTGGCAACCGCCAAACCCAGACCCGTCCATCAGATTGCCAGATGGAGAAGCGCGATTCGTCACTCCAGAGAACGCGTCTCCACTGCTCTAGAGTCCAGTGGCGGCGTGCTTTACACCACCGCATCCGACGCTTTGCATTGCACTTGGTGATGTATGGCTTGGATGCAGCTGCTCGACCATGGAAACCCATTCCATGAAGCTCTCTGCGCACTGTTCTTGAGCTAATCTGAAGGCCACATGAAGTTTGGAGGTCTGTAGTGATTGACTCTGCAGAAAGTTGGCGACCTCTTCGCACTATGCGCGTCAGCATCCGCTGACCCCGCTCCGTCAGTTTACGTGGCCTACCTCTTCGTGGCTGAGTTGCTGTCGTTCCCAAACACTTCCATTTTCTTATAATACAGCTGACAGTTGACTGTGGAATATTTAGGAGCGAGGAAATTTCACGACTGGATTTGTTGCACAGGTGGCATCCTATCACAGTTCCACGCTGGAATTCACTGAGCTCCTGAGAGCGACCCATTCTTTCACAAATGTTTGTAAAAACAGTCTGCATGCCTAGGTGCTTGAATTTATACACCTGTGGCCATGGAAGTGATTGGAACACCTGATTCCAATAATTTGGATGGGTGAGCAAATACTTTTGGCAATGTAGTGTATATATATTTTCCGAAGATTCCTCGGAGGAGAGCCGCACCGGGCCCTACACAGCTCGTACTCCTGCGGCTGTGAGCGGCTGAGATGATAAAAAAAAAGTTGGTTTCGTTATCAGACTGGTTTTCACTGGTTCCCGACACATTTTCTAGATGACTGTGGTTTGTTTTTGGTCCGACTTGCCATGACCGAAATACTGCCAGACTGCCGAACTACAAAAACCTTTCTTTGAAACAATTTCCTCCGCCTCTCCTTGCAGCACAGCTTCATGTGCTGTGTTGTGGTTTGAGAGGGCGGCGCTTGGTGACGTCGTGCCTGGGTCCGCGATTGTGATTGGTTGGGAGGAAGCAGTGACTAGCATAAACCTACATGCTAGGCTACAATGAGAAGGAAGGAAAACTGCTTTTCTTTTTTATCGAACTTTTATCGACCCTCTTTTTTTCTATTGCGCCACACGTCTATCGATCGATATATATCGTTATTGAATTATCGCCCAGCCCTAGTAGGAACGATACATGCTTTCACGTAAGAGTCTCCAAAAGCCGCCAGTGACACCGTAAAAAGTCGGCAGATTTGTCGCTAGTCGCTTTTTTGAAAAATAGTCGCTGGAGGGGTCTGAAAAGTCGTTGAGTTGGCAACACTGCACCTGCAGCGCTGGTTCGCTCCGCCATATATTTTTTTCTTCCCCCGTTTCAGTCAAGTGGATGTGATGACGGCGGTGGCGGATGACGCATTAATCGCGCGACACAACTAATCAATGATTAAATTCGTTGCCAACTCTTTTAAAAGTAAATTTTTATCGATTTTATCTATTCGTTGTTGCAGCCCTAATTTAAATGTCAAATCATTCTGGCTTAAACATGTACGGTATATAAATGTACTCTTTATCAGACGATATTGTCCTTAAAGTTAGAAAATTTCTATAAAAAAAAAAAAATCCTTTCTTAAAATCTGTTTTTTTCTGTTATTTTATGCAGGCCAGTTAGTTATACGTCAGCTTGTACACCTAAATTTGGCCAATCATATATCTTCCATAACAACTTCATCCCCGCTTTCCTCCTCTAAATAAAAAATGTATGACGGAGGAGACTCATCCACCTCTGACACAAAACTCTCCTCATCTTGCATATTTCCGCTGTCCATAGCGTTCCTATACAGGGTCGTTGCTAAGTGCTAATTGGTCCCAATGTAATTTCCCATTAGGGACCTACTAGCACTAAGTTGCTAACTGGTTAGCAAGATGCTTCCAAGACACCGATCACAACCAAACTGCTTGCAAACCTTCCACCACAACAATCCCGCCCTCTTGATAATCGACCAATCACATTCACTTTATTCACTTGTGTAAAGTCGTGCACCACTCGGGATAATTCGTGACTGCAACCATTGTAACAGCCGCTTCCCTATGACTTTAAGATTGAAGTATGGAAGACTTTCTTTTTTTTTTTTTTTACTGAAAGCAAGCAATTAATCAAAGCCTGTCCTTCCGGTTCAATTTGCATGTTTTCTAAGCCAAAACAAGGCTTTTCTTGGGCTACTCTATAAAGCGCGGAACTCAATATTTGAATATAGAAATTCAGTATTTATTTTATTTAAAAACCTATGTGAAAATGAAGGATATAGAAACAGGAAAAAGGCATTTAACATGACCAACATTAGATTAATGTAAATAAAGTTATTTCACTTTGAAATCTCAGAACCATCAAAATGACTGCCATGGGAATTCTAGTTTTAATAATTCAGCAAACCTTTTTAGTCCACTTCAGAGCACTGCTTTGTGTTGGTTGTTTAGCGGATGTGGCATCTATCCTGAGGCATTGCTTTATTATTTTTGAATAACTTATGTTCATCTTCTTTCCCCAGTTGCTTTCAGAATAACGTGGAAATCCACGTGTCACACATTCAGAGCGGTCTGAGTCAGCTGGGCAATCTGCACGCGTTCGCTGCCAACAACACCAATGCAGTCTGAGTCCCTGCATCCTCCCTTCCACACACACGGGTGCATGAACACACCGAAGCGAGGCCCATTACTGCCGTCTCTTTAAAACAGAGCTCTTAAGGCTACAAACGTGGCCCACATGGACTCTTGTGGCTCACCTGACTTTGGACGACAGTTGGCCCGGACTCCGGAGTTTTGAATCCAAACAGAGGGAAGGTGTCATGTATTTTACCCTCCTATTTTATTGTATGGAAAATGTTTGCGCAACCAACCAACCAACCATTACAAGCCAGAAACAGTCTCCCATCTATCATTGAACCCTACATCCACCTGCCACAGATCACATCTCCATGCTCTTGGGTTTTATTTATTGGTTTCCATGTGCCAAACATTGATTCTAACAGTTTTTATAGTCTGTATTTATTTATTTTTGCATAGATGTGTATGGTTGTGGAAAAAAAATAATATTTGCTATCCCTAATGTTTCCCCCTGTAAGTGTTTTGTTCTGTTGCTTCACTGTTAGCAAGCACAGGGAAAGTTAAAGAATGTTTTATAAAAACCATTTGTAGATAATTGTATAATTATTTAGAAACATTTCTGCTGTATGCTCAGAAATGTTCTTTTGGTAATTTTTGTGTGCACTGAAAGAGATTTTTGGTATTTTTATAAAGGTGAATTGTTGGGTTTTGATGCCTTTTACTCCCTAAGATCTTAGCATTTCCTCCTCAGGCATGGCTACTGCTGCTGCAACCCCTCATAAATAAAAGCCTGCATTATTGACTTAACTCTAGCGATCTCAAGTCAACACTTCCTTCCTGTTTGTTCTGTACAAATGTATATGAAAGTGCCTCAGGGCAATTGTACATAAATGTTTCCCTCTTTTTATATTAAACATATGATTGCAAAGCTTTTGGTCATTGAATTTTATTCACAAATAAAATCCAGTTAATACAAATAGTTTTAAACACGTGGACTTAATACAGCTTTATAATAAATACAGATTTTCATTATTATTGTACATGCAAGTTCTTAACGTCGACACATTCACATAAAGCCACCAAAGCCAGCCATGGCTTCGCTCTCCCAGTCTGAATCCGAGTCGCTGACTTCCTGTGCCTCCATGCTGTAGATTGGAGAAAACTGGTTGAAGCTCTCTGTGGCCCTCAGATGTGGATACTGCAGGTGGCATTCCTTTTCCTTCGGAGAGGACCTGTTGAAGCCGTTTTGGGTCGGCAAGGGAGGAATCACAACTTTCATCTCTGGTCCGATGGTTTTATTTGGCGGGAAATTATCGTACTCCACCAGAACCTTTGGACCCTGGCTGCCAGGCATGTTGGTTTTCATTCTTAGATGGTTCCCCAGCTCACTGGGATAAAGAGGGATGCTGCAGCTCTGGACGGAGCCTGCAGGCTTAATCAGCTGCATCTGCTCATCCGTTGCTCTTGTTGCTTTATCGTAGATGCAGGAGGGTAGCATGTGGTCGTAACTAGTGGATTTGGTCTGAACACTGGTCCTTAGAACATCCTCTGCACTGTGCTCCATCGAGGGCCTCACACTCTCCTCCAAACCAAAAGCTGCTGTCTTGCGTAGCTCAGAGCTGTGGCTATCATAGGCTGCAAATAAAACAGGGGTAGGTCAGGAAAAGCCCACCATACATCTAAGGTTTTCTTGAGAATGTTTCTAATAATCACCTTTCTCTGGAGCCATTCTGCAGGGTAGTTGCCCAAAGTGATGTCCTGACGGTGTGCTGGATGCTTTCGTGGATAACGATGAACCAACTTGGCGACGAGACTTGGCCCTTCTGTTCTGAAACCACACCTGAGATGAAAAGCAAAATAAGAACATATCCTCCAGGCTGTAACTCTTGTCCTTTCTTTTGTGAAATCAGCCCCCCCTACCTGAATCCTGGACTCTGGCAGCCCGGTCAGAGCCTCCAGTCTCTCTCTCAGGTAGATGTCTGGATATTTGGTGTCAGAGTAAACCTTCTCCAGCATCTCTATTTGCTGCTGGGTAAAGTTGGTCCTCTTCCTCCTGTGGGTCAATATGGCAACGCACTTGTCTGCCCTCCCACTAGATGTTGAGGTGAAGTAGTTTGGAACATCTGAGGCTCCATAATCTGGAGAGATTGGAAGAAATCATTTAAATAACCTGCTTTGGTAGTTCTAGGTCACACATACCAGATGTTTTTAGATCTCCCAGACACTGACCTGAAGTCACCGCGCCGTTCATCTGCAGAGGCCGCTCCTGAAACATCTGAAAGTTACTGAGATCCCCGACGCGCATATTCCCATGAACCGCAGACATGGTCCGACTGAGAGCTTTTTGCTTGCTCGACTTTATAAATCCCTCCGCGATCAAAGGCAGATGCTGTCCGGAAGTGTGAATGGGTCAGCCATCGGGGCCGACTGGCACTGGAGCGGCCGCTGCAGCGACTTCAGACGTCTGCGGGGCGCGTGGAGGTGTGAAGCCATGACACCCGGAGCGGGTGGAGAGGCCGCGAGCCTGTTCAAAGGCGGGGGTTAATGGAAGCTGAGGGACTCAATACACATCGGCAGAGAAAACATTTATCCGCTTTTGCATGAGCGAAGCTCCGCTAATGGAGCCGGTGGGCTTCAAAGAGGGACGGTAGGAAGCTGGACGGAAATTATCCCAACTGAGCACAAGTTCAAAGGGATCTGTGTGACGTTGCCTTCCACCCAAACTGACAGGACAGTCAGAGAATATTTGCTGTGCACTCTACAAATCTGGCCTTTATGGATAACATGCAAAAAAAACAAAAAACAACCCAAAAAACACATAAAATCATGGATGAAAATTCAAAAGACAGATCATATCTCTCATATCCTGGCTTCTCTTCACTTGCATCCTGTTAAATCCAAAATAAAATTTAAAATCCTCCTTCTCACATATAAAGCCTTAAATGGCCAAGCTCCATCTTGTATCAGAGGTATGATTGTTCCTAACAGAGCGCTTTGCTCTCAATCTGCAGGTTTACTAGTGGATGTGGGAGGCAGATCTTTCCTCTCCTGTGGAACCGACTACCAGTTTTAGTCTGTGAGGACTTTTTGGTGCAGGCTTAAAACTTTGCTTTTTGATCAAGCTTATTGTTAGAGTGGCTCAGGTTATCTATATAGTTATGCTGCTATAGGCTTAGACTGCTGGAGGACATAGGGATCCCTATTTCATCATTTTGCTTCATTCTATCTCTTTTATTCCACTCTGCAGAATCTGTTACTTTAATCTCTAACGTTATGGTCTGTTCCTGTTGGGCTGTGATACCACCCTGGAGAGAAATATCAGCTGTGCTGCTGCCATCAACACCTTTGTTTATAGATGTTGGAGATTGGCCTGTTTTTCCAGTGTCCTGTTTCTCTGACTGTGACTGGCTGGATGTGCTCTCTTCATCCTCGTACATGGGAGCTGGCTCGGAGCTTGTCTGCCTGGCTGTGTGTTTCCTGGACAGGGCCGCTTTTTACAGTTGTTTTTTGTATCTCTGCTTCTGTCTCCTTGAACCCCAGTTGGCCTCGGCAGATGGCCGCTCACACTGAGCCTGGTTCTGCTGGAGGTTTCTTCCTGTTAAAAGTATGTTTTTCCTCTCCACTGTCGCTACAAGCATGCTTGGTGTGAGGGATTGCATCCGAGTCAATGCAATCAACTGGTTTTCCATAGATAGAAAATTTTGAATTAATTTGACTGTGTGATCTGGTGAACTATAAAGTGCCTTGTGATGACATGTGTTGTGAATTGGTGCTATATGAATAGACTGAATTGAATTTGAAATATTGATTACAGTTTGCTTCAAGCTACAGAAAACAAAACAAACAAACAAAAAAACAGCAAACAACAGTGAACCTTTTGGTTGATATACAAACTGATGTGACAGAGTACGCATCATCCCCCTGTGGTACATGGTAGTGGCAGCATCATGCTTCAGCAGAAAAAAGGAAAGGGTCAGAGATGCTGCATGTAAATATAGTAAAAAAAATAAATAAACATGAAGAATTACTGTTGAACTCATTAAAACCAGACTGGGATAGAGGATCCACTTCCAACAGGACAGCCCAATCAAAGTCCAGACCTAATCCATTAAAAAAATGCTGGCAGCATCTGAAAGTGCCATTCATAAATGTTTTCTGTCCAATCAGACAGATATTTGCAAAGATTAACTGAGAAACATTACAGTCTCTTGATGTTAAATAAAGAAAACTATAACAGATAAACCCCAAAGGACTTAAGGCTGAAACTGAGCTAAAAGCCAAAAAAAAACACAAAAAAATAAAAACAATGTTGAAACTGTAACGATACAGTCGTTTGTTTACATTATCACTGCTGCTTACCTTTATCAAGGCTGCACTTTAAAAAAAGGAAAATGTATAGAGAGCTGTAATGAACAAAATTTCTTTTTGTATACACTTGTGTGTACAAAATGACAAAGTCTATGTTTAAAAGGTGGTTACAAAAATATTTACTGAAAAGTGTTGGATACAAACCATGCCAGACTTTTTAGGTTTTCAGTTATGCATACATTGTGTCCATCTATATCACATAAAATCCCGATAAGATCAATTCAAGTGTGCAGCTGCATCATCCAACTATTAAAATAATTAGCTTGGGTGTTTTTAAAGATAATCCTCTCTTGAAATTAGAGCTAATTGGAAACGATGTGAGTCAGAATACACAACCTCTATAGTTGAAAGGAGATCTAAAGGATCGGGGAGTTATTGTATAGGACAAGTCATGGGAGATCAAGTCAAGAAGTCAGACAGAATGTTTTGGCTCCTTTTGTTTGGACAAGATCAGTAAGAAATAGCTTGGAATAATTTAACGGTGCATTCAAACACAGTTTTAGTTGTTTTATAGAACAATTCTTTAAGAAATGAATGTTTCTCCTCCTGGTAAGAAACTTCTGGGTGTGGATTGACTTCCACATTGCAACACTGAATCACTAAATTAAATCCAGACTCTGACTCACACGATTTATAAGATATATTGCTTGCTGTGGTAAACCACAAGGAAAAAGCCTCAATGTTTGGCAGGGAAATCATATTTTATATCACCCAGCCTGTGAGTAGCAGCAAACTTGCTGGCTTTGTGAATTAACTCAATGCTGTTTCCCGTCAGCATCAGTACTTATTGATCTCAGCGCTTTAACGCCTTCACCTTTGTTCAGGTAGGATGTTCTCCTTGGTTAGGACATTCAAAGTTCTGTCGGTCGCTCTGTCTGAGGACCGTAATTGGGTATTGCATGTGAACACAGACCATATTGCTATGCAAAATCGGGGTGTTAAACTTCCAGGTCCCTTGTGACTGTCAGTGTAATCTCCTCTGAGAGCTGTGGATTTTGGAATCGACAATATGCTTCCCAGAGTTCTGACCTACAGAAACAAGCCAGAAACTCTGCAAATTTAGCCCTACAGCTACAAGAAAATACACAGAATTATTTTTTTCTTTTCTTTGATTTTTGCTGAAGGGGGCATTTTGTTTAAGACTACAGAAACTAAAGTGCTAAATAATATAATTGTGTTTGTGTGCAGCTAAGACTGCACTTCAGACACCAGAGACACGTAGGGATTAATGACCATTTCCAGTCAGCAGCTTCTTCAGGATCCCAAAACAAAACACGTTCACACCTTTTAAAGACTTGGCAAACTAACAGTTTGATCTGACTCGCATGCATTTGTTCTACAGACAGGCTGGTACATCATCCTCAAAGGTTTGCAGAGATATGTGAAAGTGTCAGCTACCTTATGAGCCTTTCCTTTTAGTGCAGTCTTTGTGTATTTGGGAAATATTTCAGTTTAAGATAAGTATGGACAGATTCTTGAGGCAGTCTGTGTACTGTTACCTTTTTTTAAAATTCATTACTTATTCTAACTTTTTATGTGAACTTTATAAAGCATATGTAGAAAAAGAAAATGGCAGCATTGTGAAAGGCATTAGGTTGGTTTAGATCACTGAATAAGGTAATTTTTCATTATTTACCATAATTGTTGTTTTTTTCTTATTTTTCTCCCCAAATTATCTTCTGTTTAAGTTGTGACTCTTTACCTGTGTTTGGTTATATTTTTAAATATGAATTTAATTACCTTTTACATGACTGTTTTGCTTGTCTGAGTAGTTGAAAGGAACTATTTTGATATTTTATCTTTATGCATAACATCACAACTTACAACAATATTCAGAGAATAACAATTTAAACTATTTCTAGAAGTACCTTATTACATCTGTATAATAAATACAAACTTTCATTACGCTCTCTTTGGTGTAGATTTTAGTGATAAAATTTTACGTAAAAAACAACCAAACATAAAAATACATATTGTCTTCCAATGGTATATAATGTAATGAAAAGTATTTGGTTCCTCAAAGGATTTTTTTTTCTCTTTTTTTCCACACTTAAATATTTAAGATGACCTAACATGTTTGGATCTTGATATTCTCTGTCAGGATTCCTGGTTGCATTCATTAAAACACATCATCCAGGTTCTAAAGAGACATATCAGCCCCAGACCATCACACTACCACTACCATGTTTGACTGTGGGTATGATACTTTTCGCTAATGCTCAGTAAAAAGTGGTTGTGATGGAACATATGCCCTCTAAAAACTCCCATTTATGTCTTTATTTGAACAGCAAGAATGAACGAATACTCAATTTGACTAATTCTCATGTTGTCCTCATATATATTGGCAGTCAGCCAAAAACGTGACATCAGAATAGGTGGGTGAATGAATGAATATGAAATATGATTATGGTTAGTTTATTTGGAAATGCTTTATTTGATTTATATAATATATTAATATATATAATTATGTAAATCAAAGTTAAAAGGGTGTACAATTACAGAAGAGGATTCAGGCCACTGAAGAAATAAATAAAGTTAACTGATTTATAAATACTATTTCAGTTTAATAGGGAAAAACGTCAGAATTCTGACTTTTTTCTCAGAATTCTGACTTTAATCTTAGAATTCCGACTTGTTTCCAAGAATTCTGACTTGTTTCCCGGAATTATGACTTTAATCTCAGAATTCTGACCTTTTTCTCAGAATTCAGACTGATTTTTTCCCAGAATTCTGACTTTAATCTCAGAATTCTGATTTTGTTTTAACCAGAATTCTGGCTTTAATCTTAGAATATTGACTTCAATCTCAGAATTGTGATTTTTGTTTTAGCCAGATTTCTGACTTTAATCTCAGAAATGTGATTTTTGTTTTAACCAGAATTCTGACTTTAATCTTAGAATTCTGACCTTTTCCTCAGAATTCTGACTTTTCCCCCAGAATTCTGACTTTAATCTCAGAATTTTGACTTTTTTCTCAGAATTCTGACTTTAATCTCAGAGTTGTGATTTTTGTTTTAGCCAGAATTCTGACTTTAATCTCAGAAATTAGATTTTTGTTTTAACCAGAATTCTGACTTTAATCTCAGAATTCTGACTTTAATCTTAGAATTCTGACCTTTTCCTCAGAATTCTGACTTTTTCCCCAGAATTCAAACTTTAATCTCAGAATTGTGATTTTTGTTTTAGCCAGATTTCTGACTTTAATCTCAGAAATTTTATTTTTTGTTTTAACCAGAATTCTGACTTTAATCTCAGAATTCTGACTTTAATCTCAAAATTTTGGATCTTAATGTAGATGGGCACCATGAAGGAAAAAATGTGGTAGCAATCAGCTTCAC